GGCCAGAGACGGCAGCACATCAGAAGGGCACAGCACGCTGGGGGCACCCCTGTCTTTCCAGAAGGGTCCCGGCCCCCCTGGAAGCCAGCGAAGGGCCCTCTGACATGACGCCTAGCAGCTGGCCGGGCCGGAGCACAAGCCTGTTATCTCCCAGCTGGCCAATGCCCCCTTCGCTCCATGACCGTCAGCTGCTACCCACACCCCCGGCGGACTGCGCACGGCCAGTGCCAGACTGCTCCGTGCAGCGCGCCCTGGTCACTCCCCTGGGACTCCCTTTTACCCTGCTCGTGCAGCACCTGAGACCCACATGTCTCCTGCCCCACACCGCTTACAGGCTGAGCTGCCCATGACCCAACCCAGGGCATGGGGAAGAACAGACCGAGGCTTCCAGGAGCCAGCTGGTGTGCGGCCCGCTGGAGTTCACGTGACCCCTGGTCACTGCAGAGCCTGCCACACCCATGAGAAGGGAGACGTGGGCTCCCCGGAGCGGGGTACTGGAGCAGATGGCAAGGGCCTCGTGGGGAGAAGCTCAAGGTGGGGCTCACAGCTGAACCATGCTCCTTTCCTGGGAGGAAGCCTGGGTGTCATGAACAGCAGCTCCCCAGGACACTCCTCGGCCACACACTTGGGGGGTGTCGCGAATACTCAGCTGAACACAAGCTCCCAGTGCCACTCTGCAGCTGAAAGGGCTAATGCCAGCCCGGCGTCACAGCCAGCCACTCTGGGAGCAGGAGCAGAGAGGTTACGTGGGCAAGTCTCCACTACAGAATTACGTCGACCTAAGTTACGTCGACGTACAGCCACCCAGTCCCTGAATTGGTTTCACACGTCCGCACTATGCCCGTGACGGTGGTGCACGTCTTCACCAGGAGCACATGCACCGACTGACCTGCCCGTGTGGGGCATTGCGGGACGGGTTCTGAAAGGCAGCAGGAGTCGCTGTAAGCAACGCGGCGTCTACACGGAGACTGTGTCGACCTAACCACCTCGACGTAGGCGCTACGCCTCTCGCAGGTGGCCTCGCTGAGTCGGTGCAGTGGGAGCGTTACATCGGTGGGAGCTCCATTGTAGGGTAGACGCTTACAGAGCTGCCGTATGTCAACCTAACTCTGTAGTGTAGACCAGGCCTTTATCTCTGTGGTTAGCACTGGTGTGACCACTGCTGGACTCCTGGGTCCAGGTCTGGTGCCACAGCTCAGGACGGATGTTGATAAATTGGAGAGGGGTCAGAGAAGAACCACGAGAATGATCCAGGACTTAGAGTGATAGATCAAAGAGCTCAAGCTGTTTAGCTTATCAAGGAGAAGGCTCAGGGCTGACTCGATCCCAGTCTGAAAGTACCTACACGGGAGCCCAATACTTAATAACGGGCTCTTCAGTCTAGCCCAGGAAGATCTAACACCGTCCAAGGGCTGGAAACTGAAGCTAGATAAGTTCCGACTGGAAACACGGTGCAGATGTTTACCAGTGAGTAATGAGCCACTGGAGCCACTGACCGGGATCAGAGGGAATTCTCCAGCACTGGCAGCTGGGAGGTTTTTCTAACAGCGACGCTTTAGTTCGTTCAGGGCAGTTCTCTGGCCTGTCACACAGGAGATGAGCCTAGATAATCACCACGGTCCCTTCTAGACGTGGGATCTACGGCTCAACGAAGGAGGACATCTGCTCAGAGCAGCCCTGTGCTCCCGAGTGGTCCAGCAGCCTTCACCCCGAGAGGTCACCTATTGCATGCTGCGGCCGGCCAGCGCCCCGAGGCCCCTGTTCTCCGCTCCCCCGAGGCCCGGGCATTCATTCCCAGGGCAGGAGAGGGTCTGGGCCAAGGGGGCACCATTCCTCCTGCCCCAGGGCTTTGCAGGCATCCCCTCTCCCTGAGGACAGGTGGCAGGACCCACTCTGACCTGAGACCCCACAGCAGCAGAGCTAAGCTGCCCTTACCTGGCCTTGCACAGCATCATCGCTGGCCTCCTGCTCTGAAGAGAAGCTGTCGTCGTCCTCCTCCGAGTAGTTATCCATGTCTGGAGAGCGATCTGAAACCAGAAAATGCAGGTGCCACGTCCGAGCCAGATCCCCCCACCCGCCCCCGGGAAACACCCAGCATGCCCAGGAGCCCAGGGATATGGGGTATCCCCCACATCCCTGCCCCAGGGCGCCTCAGGGGAGCCTGGGGAAACCTCCGCTGAGAGGAGAGCTCGTGTCTCGTCTGGGCTGAGAGATACGTACCCGAGGCTTTGATTTTGGGGCCGGAGGGGACGCTGCCATCTTCGTGGTCAATGGGCTGGCTGGACAGGGAGTAGATGCTGATTTCAGCCACTCGGACGCTCACATCCTTCATGTTGCTGTGGAGGCCCAGAAGCTGCCCTCCGTCCGTGGGGTGCTGCATCACCTGGGCGAGCAGACAAACACAGAGCAGTGACGGCCGCCCAGCACGCAGCCAGCAACGCCTGTACCCCCCACGGATGCCTCGCACGCGCTGCCCAGCCACTCAGTGCTGGTGGCTGGGCAGAGATCCCAGGCCAGGGCAGCCCCTGGGCCAGCCGCTCCCAGCAGCAGCTCCGGCTACCCAGCTCCCAGGTCACCTAGGCATTGCAGCTGGTCCCCTACCGGCGTCGCTTACCTCCGCCATGTTAATGACTCCCACCGCCAGAGTCTTGTAGCCCAGGATTGTGCGGTTCTTGTACCTCTTCCTTCGCTGCAGCATAATCTGCAGCTTGTTGCCATCTCTCTTCAGGAAATGCGGGTACTACAGGGGGAGGGAAAACACCCAGCCATGGCAGGGCCGGAGAGCTACACCGGCCAGGCCTAGTGTTCATGCAACCACAGCCCTATCCACTCCTGAGCCTGCACCCCAACCAGCCCCCCAGCCACGGCCCACCCTGAGCAGCTCCCTCCTCCCTCAGGCCCAGGGCCAGGGCCGGCTCCAGGGTTTTTGCCGCCCCAAGGGCCGGGGGCGGGGAGGAAGCCGCGATCGCTATCGGCTCCACCGCGCCGCTTTCTTCTTCGGCGGCAGGTCCTTCCCTCCGAGAGGGACAGGGACCCTCCGCCGCATTGCCGCCGAAGAGCCCGACGTGCTGCCCCTTCCCCTTGGCCGCCCCAAGCACCTGCTTGCTGGGCTGGTGCCCGGAGCTAGCCCTGCCCAGGCCCTACCCTCCATATCTCCTCCGCCCACACTGCACGGGCGAGGCACAGTGAGGTGCCCAGAGCAGCTGGCATGCGGCATGGAGATGCGATCAGCCCAGAGCTGACAGTCAGGACCCCGACTGCGCATTCCCTGCATCACCCGTGCACCCCGCAGGGACCAAAGCACCCAGAGACATCAGCACTGGGCTCCTGCTCGGTTCTCCCTGAATTCCCTGCTGTCGGGAAGCGACCCGGGGCGGTACACGGAGCGTCAGATCCTGCGGGGGCTGGGTGCTCTGCATCCAGGCTAGCAAGGTGCATGTTACCTGTAAAGAAAAAGTCAGTTCCAGGTCAGTCTCCATCAGGCCCCCGGGTGGAAGGACGTATTCATTGGATCGCAGGACTCGCTTTGAACCCTGCAACGAGATCAGGAGAGGCATGGAGGGACAGGCGGCAAGCACAGAGCCGCTCAGTCGATACACTACATGCAGGTGTAACACCAGGGGTTCTCCACCTCCAGAGAATCATGAAGGGTGGAGACAAACGATAGGGCCCATGCAGTCGCCTCCTCGGGGACCGGAGCTCTTTCCCTGCAGAACACAGAGAAGGGCTTCTCCACCACTTCTCTTGGAAGACTGTTCTAGCCTACTAGGAAATCTCCCCGACTCCTAGCTTCTGCCTAACCAATCCCTCTCCTCTCCTGGCTATCAGAGCCGCCCCCTACCAGTCAGCACTTAGCAAAGGCACACGACAGAGGCTTCTTCCAGCTCTTCTGAGCCCCCACCCCCCAGGCATCCCCCTCCCACTGATTATCAATTTGGTGGCGTTTCCTGATCAAAGCCTAGACACGACTGTCTGGCTCCTCGCCTCTCCTGAGCACAGACACAGCTGGAAGGGAGGGCCCAGGAGACAGGGCAGCGCATGGGACATGAGGCGACATCAATGCAGTCCTGGGAGTCATTTCTCAGTCAGGACAATGGCTTGACCCAGTGCTCTCCAGCTATCTGCAAGGGACGGTCCCCACAGAGCATGGATCATCTTGCAGCCCACCAGGAAAAGCTCGAGACTGTACTGTCTGGGAACCCCAGCCCCCACGCACACACCGAGATGGACACTTCCTCCTGACAGAGACAGATCCTCTTCATCTGACGTCCGAGACTAGCTCACCTGCGGCCGTTGCCTCCCCCGCCCCCTGAACCACCAAACTGCTCACGTAACGGGTCAGGGACGTTGCCATCAGAATCACCTAAGCGGAGTCCAGGAAAAGGAATCAGAAATGCCCTGAAGGGAGGATTCACTGAGATAACCCAGAGCAACAAAGGCCAACGAATGCAGCAACGTGGGCCCCTGCAGAGCGCCAGCTCCCCAGACACACACATCGACACACCATGACCTTGGGAGCCACCATCCGAACACCTTCGCTGCCCTGACCTGACCGGAGGGGACCAGAAAGAGAACCAGAGAAGAGAACCTCTGCCAAGCTCGCCTAAATCCTGCAACACTGCGGTGACCCTGAGACTGGAGAGGCAGCTAACGCAGTCGCTCTGACAGTCTGCCATAGGCAGACATCTACCAGGGCTCAGAGGAGCTAAGACGGACACCGTGTGCTGGAATTCCCCAGCGGGCCAGCAGGCGAGAAAGGCCAGAAGACAGACAATGCTTTCGTTATTCCGTGCTATGTCTTTGCGCCTGTTTTCTTTTGCCTTAAAGCAAACAACATCCACAGTGGCAAAAATGAATGTCTCCTGGAACTTTTCCTTTCTCCCACAAAGGGCAGCGAGCTCCAGCTTTAGGTTTATTTAAAGAGACTGTCCTGCAGGAAAGTTTTCTTATAAATACTCCAGACAACCAGAGGGAAAGGGAATCATGGGCATTGTGACAATGAAGTTCTTACGTAACTTCATGTTTCAAATACTTTGACTGTGTTTTTCTTGTGTGTATTTAATACAAGGTTTTAAAGGAGGGTTCTTACAATGGTAATTGCCAGCGAAAACATAACCCAAACCTGCACCGATGTGTTTAGTGTTGTAATACAGTAAACAAGGGTTTTAGTAACACCTTAATCTTGTTGGGCATGCACAATTCCCTGCATGCCCATCATCAGTACAATGCACCCAGCTCTGGTTCCAGACCCGGGTCCTCTGGAAGGTTTGCATGCTGAACAAAGTTCCAAGGAGTGGAACGAGGACTGGTTCGTTTTCATCCTCACCCAAGGTGGGGTCACTGGAGCTCTGAGATGCCAAAGCTGTGACAGGTTTTTTACCAGTGCAACTGACCAGCACCTTTCGCCAGGCTACAGCCGAGCCTCTGGAGGGCTAGTGGGGGATGTACCACCCCAAAGCATCTTTGGAGGCTGAGGGGTCTTTATTGGAAAAGGCAAGGGAGGACTTCCCTGCCTCTCTGCGGTAACAGTCCCAGCCAGTGACACACACAGACCTCCAAGCTTTGCAGTGGCTGAAGCTCCACATCCGTGTGCTATTTGTCTGGCCTGCAAGACTCTCTCTGATTACATCCAAACCCATCCAAGCTTTGACAGACAGCCCCAGTGATGTACTGCCAAGGCGGGATTTTTCTAGCCAGCTGCGTCAGGGAGTTTTCCTGCTCCGGGAGCACAGCATCCACCCTGGATTGCTCCAGTGACTCATCTGCCGGGGAAAGACGGCGTCTTGGCAGATGCTTTGAGCAAATTTACAATCAACTTTCTTGGAGAAAATGACAAGTCTGGCCTGTAAGGGTAACGGTGCTGACATCATATCCAGTGCTTGCTCATCTGTAAGGGACCCGACTTCATACTGCAGCCCATTCTGAGTAACAAACTAGCACCAGAGAGAATCCATGTAGCACCAGTTAGAAACTGGCCAACTCCCAGACCTCAACGTGGTCATTGTTAATAGGGAATTATCAGCTGCGGGGAGGAGGGGAGAGGTCTCACAGGGATCAGTTCTCAGCCCAACACCATCAACGATTTGGAAAAAAATATTAAATCTTTGGTGATGAAGTTTGCACAGGACACAAGGTTGGTGGGGTGAGGGGAGGTCACTGCCCTGTATCGCTGCGTGAGCGGTTCAATACAGCCAAATGCAAGGTCTTCCCTCTAGGAACCCCGAGTGTCAGTCACAGTTACAGGATGCTGGACTATACCCTGGAAAGCAGCAACTGGAAAGGACTTGGGATGAATGGTGGAAACCAGCTGAACACGTGCTCCCAGTGCAATGCTGTGGCTAAGAGCTAACATGATCCTTGGATGTACAAGTAGGGAGGGGATATTTCCTCTGTCTACAGCACTGGGGAGACACTCTCCAGCCGTGGTGTCCACACTTCAAACCATCGGTTACACATTGGACAGCGTGCAGAGAAAAGGCACAAGAAAAATTCTGCCTTACTGAAGCAGCTCCATCTATTTCGCTCAAAGAGAAGGTTAAGAAGAGACTTGATCCCCAGGCTAGATTATTCATAGATTCCGAGGCCATTGTGATCATCTTATCTGGCCTCCTGGACAGCACAGGCCACATCATGTCACCCAGTAATTTTTGCATCAAGCCCATGTCTTCTGGTTGTGCTACGACATGTCTTGTAGGAAGATCTCCTGTTTCGATTTTAGGATTCCTAAGTGATGGAGAATCCCCCATCCCTAGGTAAATTGTTCCAATCGTTAATTATCCTCACTTAAAAATCTGCACCTTATTTCTAGTTTGAATATCTTTAGCTTCAGCTTCCTCCTACCATTCAATCTTGTTAGGCCTTTGCATCACACTCTGCGTTCATGTTGAGATGGTTCCACCATGACCCGTAAGCCTTTTTCACTGCTTTCCCAAGTACAGCTCCCCATCCTGTGGGTGGGACCGGCTTTGTTGATTCTGAAGGTTTTTTGAAAGTCAGTCAGGGTGAAGCCCAGATGCGGTCAGTAACCCTGGTCAGGGCTTGGCCATTTTGACCTCAGCCATCCTTGATCTGATACCAGAGCTGCAAATCTTGCTTCCTTTACGTACCCACGGGCTTTGTACCAGCGCCCAGCACCGTAATATCTGGGCACAGCTCAGTGACTACAAAAGGCTCTTCTCCTCTCTACGCCCTCTATTTCAACCAGTGCCCAACAGCTGGTGACTCTTGCTGGCTCCCGGAGGGGAATATGTCAGCGCATGTAGCTGGCAGGGTCTGAGCCACCCTGGGGTATTCTGCACACAGGGAGTTTGTGCCGATTCCTTTCTCTGGCTGCCACGCCATTGCAGAGAAGTGTCTCTGATTTACAAACATTAGCTGCATGAGCAGATCCCCCCCAGCTCTCCCCAATTCAAAGAGGTTCTCTTCAGCCTAGCAGGAAGCGCAAAGAGGACAGAAGCAGCAAAACCAAGCTGAATCTATTAAACTTTACAGAATGAATGTGAGTCCGGTCCCACAGATCAAATACTACACAGATCCCCTTCTGATAAAAATTCCCCGGCCAGCAAGATTAACTGCACCCTGCTTCACTTCTGCTGTGAAAGCAAGTGGATTAGCGCAGCTGAAGGGACTCCACGCTTGGCATTAGCAGCTCTAATACACGCCTGTCCAAACTCTTATCCCCTTTGCTGGTAATACTCTTTTAATTAGTTTTAAAATCATATTAATCCACGGAGTGTATTGAAGAACCTTTCTGCAAAGCAGATCGCTTGCATTGTGAGCTGGAAGTGACATTCAAACACCCAGGAGCGTCCCCGTTCCACGCCTCTTGACCAGCAGTGTCTAGGAGAGGCAAAGAGCCCTGTGGCGTCCACCCAGCCTCCAGCTAGGGCAGCAGAAACCTCTCCGCGTTCCTGAGCTGCTGGGTAGTGAGTGCTCCCCGATTAGGGCCTTGAGCCAAAGCTCACTGCAGTCAATGGAAAAGCTCCCACTAACTTCAGTGGGCTCAGGATCAGGCCCACAGTCACTACGGCCTGGGAGGCTCACAAACTTGTCCTGGTTTAACTACAGGGCTGTTTTAACAGTAGTTTAGTTAAACCGGTGCAAAGCCCAGTACAGAGGTTCTGACTCCAGTAACCACTTAGCATACGTTGATTCCTTACCAACTACAGTTTAAACTAGCCTGAAGTAAGCCACTCTAAAACTGAAATCGGCGTGTCTACACAGGGGCTTGCACCACTTCAACCAAGTCCACTTTCCAACCAATTTCAGTTAAACCCAGGCAGCTTGTTCCTTAGTGCAGCAGCAGGGCGCAGGAGATGCTGCCACTGGAATCGCCACACAGTCCTTGCACACTCACCGCTCTATTGGTGGGTAGAGAAACGCAGAAAGAGTGGGGATGCAGTTCTAGCAGCAGAAAAGTGCCATCGCTCTTCCCGTAGGGGAGGGGATGGGCCACATCGCTGTACACACCTTTACACTACTACACCTGCATATGCCCTACGGGGCTGTACTGTTTGAATTAAATCAGTGGGAA